ATAAATTGTGTAATAGGCAATAGTTATAATAAATTATACCTGAAATTTCAAAAACGCAAAACAAAGATATCCTATACAAAAAAATTCACAAAAATCAGCCTATTTTCATCGGTCTAAAGGTATTTCCACCCTTAAATACATATGTTTATGCTGTAAAATTAACACTTTGGAACTCTTTATTCAAACAAAAGCTTCTGAAATATGTTATGGAAGTACATAGTCGATCAAAATAGCGAAAAGCGCGGTTTGTTCGAAGAGTAGTTAACATTTATTGAACAGAATTTCGTGTGTGGTTACTATCCTATGAATTAACTTACGTGTTACTTTGTGCAAGTTTGGCAAAGTTTAATTTATTTTGTTGGGGGTGAATGAAAGACAGAAATATTTTAATTTAAAATCACTTGTCGGTGAGTTTAAGTACTGTAAGAGGATAACGTTAAGAAGTGGGGTAAGTTCGTAAACGGGGCAAGTGCGTATACAGACTATTTTTATTACAATATGAGCGAAATTTCTCCATTTAGTATGTTTGTTTCCTTGTTTTGTTTCGCTATATCCCTTTTATATTTCAGCGAAGAGTACTTATTTGCAGTATAGAGTACTTGCATAATGCAGTAAAAAGCATTTTATGGCAGATTTATTAACAATTCTGCTCTTACGCCGTTGCACATGAAATAAAGTTTCAAAGCATTTAAACTTCAAGTTACGCTCTTACCCCATTCTCGGGAAAAGTGCAGAGTAGCTGACATTTTAAACAATTTCCTATAAAAATCAAAATGTACAAGGAAAATTAAGGTCCTAGTTACTATTAATTAAATAGTAGTAATTGTGCAAAGCGTTCTATATCGACAGCGTTAAGTATTTACATAGCAGACTGAAAATACTTATGTTTAAATACCAACTTTACAAAACTAGTCTGCACTTACCCCACTTCACCTTACTTGATATGAAGATTTCCCTACCGAACGCGGGATTATTTCCATTGTATAGGTTTGTGAAAATCGTAGAAACGCTGTTTTTTCGTAACTAATCGTGTATGTACATTTTATCGTCTGATTACTGCAACTTTCTTCTGCGTTATAGTTAAATGCGCCATCTTAATTGCTTCATATAATAAATTCGTTTGTGAAGAGAAGCGATAAAAACAAAAAAATGCTGAAGTACTTTTTGCTCTATTAAAAAGGGAAAAAAATTGACCGGCATCTTTTCTGATAATAAATTATTGGTATCGTATTTCGATAACGCTATTCAGTTTCTATAGTCGCGAAAATAAGAGCATCAGCGTCATTCGATTGGAATGGGTGAAGTAGAAACTAATTGGCTTGGGTAACAATAGGGCATTTCTTTCTAACGATGTCATCGCGTATAGTAACTTGGCAGGTATGCAACTATGCTGGTTATTGTTGGCTCTACACATTATTTATGCCCTTACATGTGCTACGTCATCTACTGCATGTTTGTTTACTTTTTTATCGTAAACTTATTAAGTTGCTACATATCAAATGGCAGACCTTAGAATATTAGAATTATAACAGGACTTTATGTCCGAAACAGTTTATATAATTGTATTTGTGTCACATTTTAAAGCTTAACCAGTTAACTGTAGCGATCTTTTTGCAAAGCGCGCACTAGTGTGTGTCGCGATAATCAAGCGATGACGAGTTAACTCTCAAGAATTTATGAATCCATCTCAAATCATTTATACTTTTTATTTGTTTATTTCATTTCGTGTTGACCTGTAAACATTTTAAACATATTACAATTTACGAATATAGTTTAATTTTCGCCAAATTACAATTTAAATATCAAATTGTAATAAAATTTTACGCATGACGGATATAGTCGTCATGACACAAAATTCTGCTACATCTCCATGACGGATATAGTTATCAAACACACTTAACTGCTTAATATTTCTGTGATCAACTGTAACTCATTAATAGTCTTAATGTGAAAGGTGTATCATAAGTTACGTGGCAGTTGAATTTCCGTGACGTTGAAGTTTCCGCAAGTCTCATATACTTCGCAAAAGCAACACGATTTATAATTCAGTTCAGTTATCGCAGAATTTAATATTGAAAAAAATGTGCAAATTTTTTGTTAATATTCTTAATTTCAAATATGACTGGTTTGAAAAATACTTAAATCCCACTTTTTCATAAGAAATCTGTTGTTCCCAAAACAGGAGGTTAAAAGCAGGGAGTTTTAACTATAACGTGTAATTTCAGAATAGTTTACTGTACTTGTTTATATTTTTTGATGTTTGCTTTGTAAAAATATTATTGTACACTTCATTTTCATACTTTATATTTCAGTTTTGGAAAGGTAAAATGCAGTACAAATAGCAGAAAAAGATTTTTGATGAAAAAGGTGATGAGTCTAAATGAAAGAATGGTACAGAAATAGTTCGAAGAGTTTCGATGAACAATGTTCCGGCAGATTGAAATCGATAACGATTAAATTTCCAGACTAACTTAAAATAAAGTAGGTTGTAATTGCTGAAATGCTAGGAATATCGGAATCCAGGGTTGAAAACCATTTGCATCGATTTTACCTGTATTTTTTAAAAAGTCTGGCATTACTTATTGCAATAGGTCAATCCAATATACATATTACATAATACAGAATGAGTATAAAGTGTATATAATATAATTGTTTGAGACTTTTGTATTATACATATAATTATTTTGGACTTAATACGTTTCAAATTGGATCCTTGTTTGCAATAATCGACATTTTGTATAAAAAAAATATATAACTAAAATATCTGTCATAGTAGGTTAGTAGGTTCTCTTCCAAGATGTAATTAATTTTGACGAGTCATGAGCTAAGCTGAATGATGATTTAACTCTTAAGAACACGTTACCTTCAAAAACCATTGAACAAATGAAGTAAATTACATTATTAAAATAGATATTGCAATACTAATGGAAATAAAGTAAAATTCAGAAATATCAATGAAGCAGAACAAAATCGTTAAAAGTTACATGATAATAATAAAGTATACGCAAAATGTATAGTGGAACTATGGAAATTCGCTGATTATATGTAGATAGAAATGATTGATTTTATGATACTTATAAAATTGGAGCATCAACTTCCGTAGAAAATGTTTTTACCGAAGAAGTGCGCTTGTATAATGCACGAGAACCATGCGAGGGATACGAACGAGGCGAAGACGACCTTCAAACGTTCGATTTTATCAACAAATTGAAACTGGATCTTCTGGAGACCCATTACTCTGGTGTGACACGGGTCAGGGGTAGCAATCGCATGCAGACAGCCTACAGGTTGGAAAAAGACACCGACGTCACTTCGCCAACAAAGTACGATTTCATGTTCTATTTTAAAATAGCCTACAGTGGATGGCCAAATTATTATACTCCAGAGAATTCTTTTAAATATCTGCAACAGTCGTAACTAATTAGTTTAACGATGTTATTGTTACTTGATATATTCTAGAATAAAAGGCGGATATGGATATAAATTTATGTTATGTATTCCGCACACTGTTAGTGGTTGGATGAAAACTTTGACTTCAGTTTAACCTATTGCTAAATTTTTATTTTATTTTACCACCAGTCAAATCCATTACATGTAATATAAAATGAAACGAAGAAAAATTTTGAAAAATAAAATGTAAATGTTTATCGAATACACATTTTATTTAACATAATCCTGTTGTTAGCGATAAAAAATTATACATATATGTGTATACATATTCAAATTCCCATTTAGGGTTGAGCATTATACATACTTGATAAGTATTAGATTTTTATGTAGTGTGTTTTAGGATTGCAAATAAAAAAAGCGGAGTCACGAAATATTAAATAATTGTATTTTCTTGTGTAATATAGTATTTTATTTATGTTAAAGTGTTCGATTTTTACAATTAGTTGTATTATTGCTAAAAATAATACATTGTAACAAAATATACGATATACTATATATTATAAAAATAATATATTGTAACGTTACAATAAAAATATCTGTTCTATTTCACCGGGTAAATTTATAAAATACGGAATTTTTGTTTGAGTTTAACAATTTGGCTACTCACTGGACAGTGATGCAGAATTTCATAAACGATGCATAAATGTTATCTCGTTGTTTTCTCAGTTTTTTACGTAAAACTTTTCCAGCATGCTCTACAAATAAAAATGATAAATAAATGATATATAAACATACGCTCTTAAATGTTTCATTGAAAGATGGGGAATATATGAATACTATATATCATATGAATATATGATGAAGAATATATAAACTTTAAATAATACATTCAAGATCCTATGTTCATATAAACATTTTTCCTTTATAAAATATTTATAGAATTTGTAGTAATTTATTAACATTTATAGAATATTTTATTTATAGAATATACTAGTAAAGTTATACGAACAAAACTGGAGCACTGTGTATATAATAACGAACAATAAAACAGTCTATTGTCATTTCGTATTTTTGTTTATAAATTTTTAATAAAATGTTTAAAAATATTACTACAAGATTTGTTTTTTAATTTTTACGAATCTATTAATGAAGTTTGGACGTAATATACTTGGATACCCAGTACAATACTATAACGAATCAAAAGAAACAACAAAAATACGAAAATACGCAAATCAAGAGAACATAATCTAGCCGGGGTACAACTGTATTTGATCCCCAATTCTTTTTTCTTGAATTCACGCCAACGTTTCAGGTTTTTGCCGCATTGTAAGCAATGTCTAAAAGTTTCCTTATAATTTATTCGTTGTTTGAATTGACTATATGAAACGTGTTTTTTTGCACTGTCCTCTAGAAATATACTTCCAAACGGATTGCCAGAGGAATTCAGTGCAGTCTGCACATTCAGAGCCAGGAAACTGCCTAAATATACTTGGCACATTATCAGGATTGTCGACATGGAAAACGAGCCCCAATTTTTAATCGCGGTGAACCCGAAAACTCAAACTGTGGATATTTCTACGAGGAATGAAACGGGTGAATTGCAGACTGTATCATTCCCGGCTGATCGTGTGAGTAAAATAAACTTTCTGTAGCTTTGTAACGCTTTTAACGATATATAATATCGCATAAATTAAGATTATGATATAACTTGTGGGTCTAGAGACTAGGTGTCACCTGCAAATTTAAATGTGTATTTAAAATTTCGTGTATCTACTGAAAGTATACTTGAGACATTAAAAATTTGGAAAATACACTTGAAAACTTGTAAATTTTGGGAATTAAATATGCATTCTTAGACCTCTTTTCTTGAGTTAAATGCTTATAGCTAACAGGCTTATTAAATTATTTAAAGCGATCGCAAGTGGCATATGTAGTTCAAATCGTATTCAAACATCCGTAAGCGAGATGCATCTCAACCAATGTCGAGGACCGTCAGTTTAAAAGCTCGTTCAAAACGATGCAGCCCTTGAAAGTGTCATCAACGATCTCGTGATGATTAAAACTGCTTGCGAACACGATCCATGATATTTCGAAACGAGACCCTGCCGTTGACGTATCAAAAGCTCGGCTCTTTGTCAAATATCAATCGAGGAACGTGGTGTGGGCGTGTAAATTACGCCCTGTTGTCACAGGACACGTGGAAATCGTGTCACGGGCTGTTGCGTAAGCATCGTGTGAAATAGTTTAAAGGTTTTTACAGGGCGTTCACTGCTGCCTGTGTACATACAAGATCGGAAAGACTGATGAGAATACCATTCTTTGCGACATTTGTAACGCTTCAAAGAGCTCGCGTCGCGACATTCTTAACCCCTTTAAACGTTATGGTTCATCACTGAAAGTGCAGTCCACAGTAGCATGTTTTCTTTGCTAGTGAGATAGAGTACAGTGGGTAGGCAAATTATTATACCCAAACAAAAAGTTCCATATTCTATAAATTTAAGTGGTGAAATAGAACAGGTACTTTTATTACAACGTCACGTTATACTATTTCTACAATATAATATATTTTATATTTTGTTATAGTATACTTTTTAACAATAACATCATTAAAAATAAAAATTAAACACTATATTATACAAGAAAATACAATTATTTAATATTTCGTCAGTCCGCATTTTTTACTTACAATTCTATATACATTTAAATCCAGTACCACCAAGTACAATGTCGCTTAAATTGAAGTCAGTTTTTATCCAAACACTAACAGAGTCTTAAAATATGGAGTACTGAACATGTAATTATATCTACACCCGCCTTTTATTTGAGAATACATCAAATATCAATAATATTGTTAAACTAATTCAAGTTGTGTCTGACATGTATTTTCAAAAAGAAATCCTTTGAGTATAATAATTTGGCTACCTATTATGAACACTTTTCTGATGCTTCGACTACATAATCCTTGGCACTCGAAAGGTGACGCACCATTCGATTTAATACAACAAGTTGAAATAAATATTTTTTATTGTTATACGCGTAATGTGTAAACATAGTAAAACAGATGATAATGGCAATTAATAATAGAAAAATAATAACTTGAAAAGAATTGAGCAAACTTTTTAGCTAGAAAGTTGTAGAGTTACTAGCTACAAACAGCAAAATATTTTTGAGTGCAGAAGATTAACACTTTGGCCATCATATTAAATTCTTTACAACCCTAACGAATACTACCCTAATTAATTTTGTTTTCAACAAAGACACTCAATTATTCTGAGGATATTCGAATACTTTTACTATGTATACTTACAAGTATTTAATAAGATTATCGTTGGATAAGTAAAACATGTAGCGATTATTGTTATTGTAGTAAGAGATATGTGAAACTTTTGATTTTTAACAGATGTTCGATAAAGGCTGGCATAAAATTAACATTGGTGCGTTCAAGGATAAATTGGTAGTGTATATAGATTGCGAATACGCTGGTACTGAAGAAATTGAACCTCGAGGACCAATTGAAATCAATGGTGAAGTCTCAATTTCGAAGATGTCCCAGAGCAAAGTCACTGTACCGGTAAGTTTGATTATACATCCTAGAAATTCCGTATGCTAAATACCAAAAACAATAATAATATCGGTATTAATTAAAACAATAGTATGAGCAATATTATTAACCTTTTAGTGCCGTCAAAAAGTGGGAAAAATGAAAGAATTTTTCTTTTATAAATAATATTTACAAATAAGAAGAATCATTGTTTGAGTTCGATTTTGTATGAAGCATAAAGACTACATTGTTTATTATTCATAACAAAATCACTAATGCCAAAACACAAAATAAAACGCCATCGTACATACCAGAGGTTGCTAAACTTATGTGGTTCAGGATCCTCTGTTGAACAACATTTCTTTTGAGGACTTCATTCCAATTCTAAGCATTTTATGTCGTTCTTAAGATTTAATAATTTCATGGGTACTACGTTATAATAAATATTGGTAGAAACACATCACTCATTATATTAATAAATGGTCTTGTATATTTACAAAAGTGAAAAGCTGGGGTATGTAACAGTTGATGTTAAAATGGTAATGGTCATGATCTCCCAGCTGTCCGCAGACCATGATTTAAAAGCCTGTGGTATACATAATATATCGTCGTTTGACACCAGAAAATTAACCTCTCTATTCTCTTCAAACCGACATAAGTAAATCACATTTTTACTTTGCTCTTTATTGAAACTAAATTTCTTAGCTTTATCTGTTTTGTACAGACCATTATTTATATAAATGCTTTTGTTTATCACATTCATCAGGAGGATGTACAATCATAATTTTTATAAATTAAATTATTTTCTTTAATTTTATTATTTTTGTCATTTTTATTTCTTACTATATTTGCAATATATTACTATATATTCTTAATATATTATTTATTATTTTGTAAATATAATAACAAATATCAAATAAATGAAATATTTTAAACATACTACATTTTATATTAATTATTTTAGTACTTATTCGAGTTTCAAAATAAGTACACGTTACAAATGTACTTGGTTAATATCTCATTAACTGTTAAGTTTAGGACATAACTAGGTTAAAAAGTTTTTATTCAGAATTTGATGTTCAATGAACTACAATATAAAAAATAATAAAGTCAAACGATTTCTTTAAGGTGTAATTCATATAGAAAGTAAAAGTGTACATTATTTAAATAAAAATACGGTCAGTTTGATAAGTTGGACTACTTACCTCATTATTGACTTATTGTTAGATCAAAATTAACTATATAGTCAGTTAGATATTTTATTTGTATCTATTTAAAGAAATATTTAAGTATCATTTTGTTCAACCATGCGTGCAAAAAGGATTTTACGCCTATTAAAAAATATTTAATTCAAAAACTTTTATTAAAATAAAAACAGAAATTGATCTTAATCGTGTAATATAAATAAAAGGTACGAAATTAAACTTAATCATAAAATATATCAACTAATAAATACAAAAAAAGTTGAATCAACGTCAAAGGCTGTTGAAGCTTGACTCCTCCTTTGACGCGTTGTCTTTCTTTTATACTGACATGGGTTATAACTGGAATAAAAAGCATTGAAATGGGTCAAATTATTCCTGGGGTTATTACACTTTGCTGTAGAGGAATCATATGACTTCTAACATTCAATTCACATTTAATATTTAAATGTAACTGCAATTTATCTTATACACTAATGAAGCAATAATTATATTATTCTTGAATTATGATTAAATTCGCGAACAAAGTAGTAGTCATATTAAATCGCTTATGATAAAACTTACATAACATTACATTAGAACACTTTACTTTAAATAAAATGCAGTAATTTGAAGTTTGTTGGAAAACACATAGAGCGTTGATGTATGTAGTACAATATATATCACGTTTCGAACAATATAAGAACGAAATAATATCAAATAGCTATTATATTATAGTTTTCTATTATAGTAGAAAACAACTGTAATAGATCATTATGAGATAATACTATTAATAGGTGTAGGTTAGTCAGGATTCATTTTATCTCAAAGGATTATTTTATATGTATACATATGTATTCCTTACCTTTCAATATAATACTTACCTAATAAATACAAGTATGTATTACCTATTACTTACTTCTCATCCAATCAGAATATTAATTTCCGAATCTCTGAAATTTCCAATTCCTAAATTCCCATATTTCCGGATGTTTAAATCATAAATTGTTAATTTTCATATTCTCATGTTCTGACAATCTTCGAAGTTTCCAAATCTCTACATTTTTTAATGTTTATTCTTCTAAAATCCTAAACATTCAAATTACCAAATCACTAAATTACTAAATTACCAAATTACCAAATTTCTAAATTCTCAAGTTTCTAACTTTCTAAATACCTAAATTCTAAAATTTTTAAGTTAGTAAATTCCCAAATACCCAAATTTTTGTGTATAATTTCCTAATTTAATTTCTTCCTTTGCAAATTCATCTTAACACCATTTATCTTCCATGTCTTACATGTTTCATAAACTATACCGTTTAGTAATTATTCGAGGTGATCCGGTTAACTAAAACACCCTGTATACAATACATACCAGTGATTTTCACGAGTATGATAAATAGCATGGCTCAATTTGTAGCGACACACCATAAACCTAAAATTTCTCCAAATAAATCTCATCAAGATCCTACACATTACACATACAGTACATAAATGAACTGTTTATGCATACACTAATTGTAAGAAAAAACACAGAAGAAGTTAATTTTAATACTTACACTATTTATACTTTACTACGAAATACTATACTGTATTATAAACTATCTACACTGTTTTATAATACAAATTATAGATTAATAATTGAACTATCGTCCAATAAGTTCAATGGTATTTTTCGATCTGTTTCGTGTATTAAAATTATTAACCTTTATTGATTACAACGACACTTTTCTCGGTTATCTGATAATAGACGCATCTAGTACCTACTTAAATATGTCTAATTAAATTAAATTTAATATTGCGTCTTATTGAGTTAACTTGAATATTATATTTTATTATATTAAACTTAATATTGTGTCGTATTAAATTAAATGTAAGATTATGCTTTATTAAATGAAATTAAATATTGTTATTCTTGCGTTGTTATTATTATATTAATACAAATTGTAGGCCACAATGTGAGTAGTCACATCTCAAAATTTCAATAAAACTGAAAATACAAATTTTTTAACATCGCAATTCGTTTCATTCGCTACGCGGCGTACAGACATAAAAGCGGAACGGTTAATGAGTGTTCTCGGAATATGGAAGCCTTTTCATTTCGATAAACTTAACGATGATCGGAAGGCGAGTGATCTCGATTAAAACGAGACGTGTAACAAGTTCGTGCACGCGAATTTCGCAGAAATTCACGGTAGATATCCGCGTTTGTTCTCGCGACAAACGTATCTGTTGCATGCAGCAATTAAGAAACGCTTAATTAATAAACACTTTATAATGAACGAGGCTAAGACGTAACTGGAGCGAGCTAGATTTAGTGCAACACTCGAAGTGTACGAGCATGATATACAATAGTGTGACAACGGATTTATTAGCCCAGTTTCACGAGAAAAGGCAAAAACGTGCTAATGAGATGGTTACCGTTTCTAAACGTGAAATTCCAATACACAGAATGAATCACTCGATGTTCTTATAAATTAATATCTCCTTGACTGATCTGATTCACGTCACTAGAAGAAGTACTTTTTCAAAATAAGATGAAGTGGGGTAAATGCAGACTGGTTTTTGTAAATTTGGTATTTAAACGTAAGTATTTTCAGTCTACTATGTAAATATTTAACGCTGTCAATATAGAACGCTTTGCACAATTACTACTATTTAATTAATAGTAACTAGGACCTTAATTTTCCTTGTACATTTTGATTTTTATAGGAAATTGTTTAAAATGTCAGCTACTCTGCACTTTTCCCGAGAATGGGGTAAGAGCGTAACTTGAAGTTTAAATGCTTTGAAACTTTATTTCATGTGCAACGGCGTAAGAGCAGAATTGTTAATAAATCTGCCATAAAATGCTTTTTACTGCATTATGCAAGTACTTTATACTGCAAACAAGTACTCTTAGCTGAAATATAAAAAGGGATATAGTGAAACAAAACAAAGAAACAAACATACTAAATGGAGAAATTTCGCTCATATTGTAATAAAAATAGCCTGAATTCGCACTTGCCTCGTTTACGAATTTACCCCACTTCACCTTACTTATTATTTGATATACTGTAGTACTCCGTTAAAATACAAGTAATTCAATTTTCAATGTACATCAACTTCAAAAAAAAAATATAAGTAGAAGACTTCCGGAAAGTATTTCTATTTCTTTATTCAGAATGTTGAATGTTCGAAATGAAATAAAATATTCTAAAAAGAAATTGGAATGAAATAATCGAATTTAGGAAAAGTCACGAAACTACAACTTTACTAAAAAAATTAATATTCGTGAAAAAGCGTAATGTTTTAATTAGATGTTTTTGGTTATTAAAAAGTAATGATAAAATATTTAAGTAAACTTCGATAACATAAAAAATTATGGACGTAACCTGATTTAATCATAAATTAATGTAGGATAGGAGGGTGAAGGAGGAAACACAGATACACAGGAGGAAACACAGTTTTAACAGAAAATTAACAATATATTTAGGAATATACACACAAAACACACAGAAGAATAACACTTCGGGCGGCACTGCTTTCCGCCAATGTTTCCCGTAGGAGCGCAAAAATACGACTGCCTCACAAGAATTTTGTACGCGCAATTCGTTGTTGACAAAAGACAATCGCTCGGTTGATGGAAAAAAATCCATATTAACGGCCATTCTATGGAAAACACCTAATATCGTTACTGTTGTGGAAAAAACCCTCGCACTTGCCTCGTTTACGAATTTACCCCACTTCACCTTACTTATTATTTGATATACTGTAGTACTCCGTTAAAATACAAGTAATTCAATTTTCAATGTACATCAACTTCAAAAAAAAAATATAAGTAGAAGACTTCCGGAAAGTATTTCTATTTCTTTATTCAGAATGTTGAATGTTCGAAATGAAATAAAATATTCTAAAAAGAAATTGGAATGAAATAATCGAATTTAGGAAAAGTCACGAAACTACAACTTTACTAAAAAAATTAATATTCGTGAAAAAGCGTAATGTTTTAATTAGATGTTTTTGGTTATTAAAAAGTAATGATAAAATATTTAAGTAAACTTCGATAACATAAAAAATTATGGACGTAACCTGATTTAATCATAAATTAATGTAGGATAGGAGGGTGAAGGAGGAAACACAGATACACAGGAGGAAACACAGTTTTAACAGAAAATTAACAATATATTTAGGAATATACACACAAAACACACAGAAGAATAACACTTCGGGCGGCACTGCTTTCCGCCAATGTTTCCCGTAGGAGCGCAAAAATACGACTGCCTCACAAGAATTTTGTACGCGCAATTCGTTGTTGACAAAAGACAATCGCTCGGTTGATGGAAAAAAATCCATATTAACGGCCATTCTATGGAAAACACCTAATATCGTTACTGTTGTGGAAAAAACCCTACATTAATATAACCTCCAGACTTACCTTTGGGACCGTAGACCTCCGGTTATCGGTTTCACCAGGCAGAATCAAACATGCGGTACTTACCGCAAAATAACACCGTTTTTTATGACTTGCTACTCAAATCGTGACGTTTCTGCTGAAAATCAGTAAATTTCTAAGCATTATATTTTGAAAACCAATAAAAATCAGGTAAATACATTAAATCTTAATGAATTCGTTTTGAAAAGCACTATCGTCTGATCCAAAAAAAAATATATAGTTCCATTTAAAAAACAAAACTTCACCATCATATCTGTTACATTAATAACATTAAAAAAATTTTATTTACGCCAAAACATAGAGCCCCTTTTATCCTGCAGTTTCCATATACATAAACACTTTTTCGTGTCATCAATAGTTCATGAAATATCACGCTGTCACATTTAGGCGTGGACACATAGTGCCCAAAATAAAATGCTTACATTATCTATTATAAATTAACTTCACCTATTCTCGTTTATCCTAATCTAAACGAAACTCACTTATTCTAATTGAACTTAACGTATTTTAGTTAAAATCGTGAAACTACTACACAAAATGATGAAAATAATATCAAACAAGCTGAGCACATTGTATATAAATCTAATTTACACTTAAAAGTTGTAACATTAGCACTCTCCACTAACAATAAGTGGATCGTGCTAAAAATACATGATTTTACGTAATTGAAGAAACCATGCAAAAAAAAGTTAACTAAAGTTATAGCGAAATATTTTATTACATAGAATGACTGTGTTACAAGAATAGCTAGCTTTTACTTTCTTCTATTAAGGGGAAAAGTAATGATAGAATCTGCATACTAGTGTTTTCTAAGTGCTCCATTAAGAGTTAATGTAATTTCTGTTGAACCCTTTGAACGCGTCTTTAGATCGATATACAGTGGATGGTCTTAAATTGCGATCCTACGAGGCCAGAGAGGGAGACCTGTGAGGAACTACCGGTAAGCGTATATATTTTACATAACTTCACAATCCATTAAGATCCCACGCTTGTAATTATCGTAATTGCAGAAGAGCCTTAGCAGCCCTTTATTACCTCAGAGGAGGCCCGGCTGCGAAATTGTCTGTCCACAGGGGCTTCCCGGAATTAATGGCACAAATGTAAGTTACAATTTCCATCTAAGCAAAAACAAATACTTAGATTCAATTAAAGACTTTTTATTTTTTCAATTGTTTTGGTCCTTCTATTCTCGGAAGCATTTCTTCTCTTATACAATATTGATTTTTTAATACTTCTTATAATTGTGCATTGACGATGTTACTAATTAATATTTTTATTTTTAACAAAATTTATCTATTTTTATGATGTTTTATTGTATTCACTATGCTTTATTCTTAGTAGTTAATAGTATAGAATCGTGTATAAATATAAGCGACACTCATACATTTGTGTAATAAGTTTAAAATTTTTATTCTAAATATTATAGCATGTGAACGATACACGCGTTAGAAATTGAATTTCTGTATTTATTATAGAATTTAAGAATTTAAAAACTTGGAATTCAGGAAATTTGAAAATTCGGAGATTTGGAAATATGAAGATTTAAAAATCTGAGAATTTTCAAATTTAATGTTTTAAGAATTTTATAAATTTGGAAATTTATGGAATTTGGAAATTTGAAAACTTTGCAATTTGAAGATATGGGCATTTAAAACTTTAAAAAATTCTTATATATAAGAATTACAAAACATTTTAATATAAATAATTAAATTTTAAATATTGCAAATTTGAAAATACGAAGATTTGAATATTTATGAATCTGAACATTCGGCTTTCGGAAATTTGAAAATTTATGAATTCGGAGGTTTAGAAATTTGAAGATTTGGGAATTTGAAAATTTAAATTTCAAATTTTCAACTCTTAAAATTTGCAGAATTTGAGAGTTTTAATGTTTAAGAATTTCAGAATTGGAGAATTTTACTATACAATACACTATTATAATAAATAATTCTGTATGTACACTGATTGTGAGATGTAGTTCAGGTTTTCTTTCGATAAGAACACATACGTAACCTTGAAAATTTTCTAATTTTTAAATTTTCAAACTCCGAAATTTCTGAATTTCAAAATTTCAAAATTTCAATATTTCAAAATTTATAATGTTTAGATTGTCAAATTTCTTAAATTTGCATATCTCTTAATCTCAAAAATACTAAACTTTAGTTTCCAAATTCCAAAACCTTTAAATTTGAAAATTTCCAATTTTTTAAATTTTCTAAAATTCCTAAATTTCTAAATTTCTTTATACTCAAGTTCCAAAATCACCAAATATTTAAATCTATAAATTATCGAACTTTTAAATTCTCAAATTTCTAGATTTCTAAATATCTGACAGAGTTTTACACAGATTAATATTTAATATATGACGTCTATTCAAATAAAAGGATGTTACTATATAAATAAGATATAAATAAAGACGCGCTGAAGCACGTTGCGACGTGCATCGCCGGTAGCCGAACTGCAAGACGCCGAATAAAACAAAAGACATCGTATATTAAATTGCTACCAACTCATTTATCATTAGCCTAGATAGATTCCAATACCAACAATATCTAAATTCCTAGATTTCTTAATACTTAATACTTAAATTCTCACACTTCTCTTCTAAATTTTCATATCGGCACACCTAAAATCTGGAGATTATCAAATTCCTGAGTCCCCAAATTCCTACATTCCCTTAATCAATGAGTGAAACATCTGTTTTCACTTGGTTGCCATACTTGTTTATTTATTACTTATAATTCTGTGTCCGATTACTTCAATGGCGATGTGTTCCTTTTAGTGTTATAAATCCATATCATTTCACAGACATTCACAAAAATCGAGTGAACTAATAGAAATAATTGAAATAACTGGTGATAATAATTTTTATAAAACCAAAGAGTCATCTTTTAGGTGAATAATACTATTCAGAATCCGATTGAATATGTGATAGTGGACATCACATAATTTAAGGGGAACATAAGAAAACATAAGTGGACGTTACATAATTTAATGGAAACATAAGAAAAAATACAACAGCTTAGTTTTCAAGAAAATCAAGATTGAAAATTCACTGCATTCTTGTGCTATTATGGCAATATTCTCTTTCGAGCAATATAAACGGGTTGCAAGGCATGAAAAATATTTTCATAGAAAAGAATTTTACTTTCTCAGTTGCAATATGGTTGAAATTGTTGTGCTTGTTGACGGATGCTTTGGTTGTGTAATTACCTAAGTATGTACTCTCAATAAGGAGATTTGATTTTTAAGTTCTTTAAATGTGCAATTAATTGCTTGCATTAATTGTTTCTTATTTCCTATATCTTTATTGTATACTATTCTTTAATGCATTCCCATACCTATACGTTCATACGTGTAAAATCTGCGGAGTTTGGAAATATAAATATAAAAACGTACTAGTAGGAGTTATAATTATCGTTTAAAAATCTTCTTATATTTTGGGTAGAGTGTGGTGGATTATAATATACGCATACGTTCGACAGAAAATAACATTGCTACAATAGCACTCGAACACACTGAATTTTCAAACTTGATTTTCTTTAAAAAATTAACGATAAGTAGGAAATCAAACAATATTATGCCTCAGTCCCTAGCCGTCGAGTTAGGACCACATACGAAAATTTCACTTTTGTGGCTATAACATTATGTCATATATGGAAAATTGTCTTAGACCATAGAAATTATTACTAAATACGTTGATAACGATATAGTAATTTGATACTATCGTGATAATAAATTGTGTGGGTGATTAGCGATTAAGGACCGTGTGAGCGTTTACGTTAGATTCGAGTATCGATAGCGCATGAGATGAAAGGCGAATGTCATAGAAAATATCTAGAGTCTACTCAAAAGAATAGTTTACAGCTCTACAGCGACATTATCTGAATTGAAAAGAATTACTGATATTTGAAAAAATAATGAAGATATATAGCGTCTAATCAATGTACACAGAGCATGTCGGATACAAGCTGTCACCAAAGCAAAGGGTGAAAGTACAAGATATTAACATGTGTTAATAATGTTATATGCAGTAGTAGTGTATCATATTAGTAGCTAATAAATTGTATGATTAGAATTTGAACAGATCTTGTAATTTTACGGAAAACGTGCAAAGTGCTAAAAATTTGTAGTGGTTCTAATTCTATGACCAGGGATTGTATATTTTTATTTTTATTTTCTTATACAGTATTTGGTGGTGTTTTTACACGTCATTTTCCGGGTATACTTTAGATGTATACCACTGATAACTTATTTTTGAAATGTGGATTCTTGAAGTGCAATATAGTTTCGTTTGTTCAGGGCTTACCTGGCCCACACGGACCATCTGGACCTCCCGGACCAATCGGAGAACCTGGTTTACCTGGACGACCAGGATTACCTGGACCCCCAGGGGAACAAGGGAAAACAGTATGTTTCATAAACACGCATAAACAATATAATAGAAGCTTTTTATTTGGTTTCAGCTGCATTGTTATTTTATAGGGTCCGCAAGGATTCATCGGTGCTCGAGGGTTCCCTGGAAATCCAGGTCCAAAAGGATCTATTGGCCCAATTGGACCACCTGGAGCAAAAGGAGAACGAGGAGAAAGAGTAAGTTTATTATTTTACCATTTTACTATATACTTATTTAGTATGTTATTCATTTCGTTGCAAACTATTGTAACCGTTTGATAACTAATTTTCGAAGCTCTATTGTTATCAGTAGTTATCTCATTGATATTTTGTTACACATATGTCGATAATATCGTTAAAATATCGATAATGCACATTCAGAAAGAAATTGATGCATTTGATTGAAACATACTGCAACGCAAATTAGATTTATTATTACATACATGTATGTATATGTAGAATACCTCGTAACTGAAGGTATGTTTGAAGGAGGTAATCGAATCATAATCATTCATATAATTCTACGAATAAAAATAATATACAAATATGAAATAAGATTTTTCTATATATTGCCTCATTTTCGAGAAAACTTATGTTACGGATAGAACTAGTCTCAGAGCATAAAATGAGAATTTAAAATTATACACGCGATTTAACGAAATTAGCGGGGTTTTCGGGGGCGACAGCAGGCATGGCGAGTTCCATGCCTCGAAGCCCTACGTGCACGGGGAAACCTGTGGCCGTATTCGTCGAGCATCATGAGTGTTTCGGCATGAAAAACACCATCGTAGCACCGGGGGTAACCAATCCGCCCGGGAGTGGTGGTGCTCACCAAAACACTGAGGGCCACTCCGCTTGGGAGAGGTGAGAGCCCGGGCGGGGTCGAACTTGCTTGCCCCGCGCTCCGGCTGGCCATCTGCGGGATTGATTGCACTCGAAGACAATAATAATTAACTTTTCTAAGAAATGTACACGTGCGTGGTGCACGTGGCAAATGGCACGTGGCACATGCTCTGAAATTCCAAGTAAAACGCCAATTACGCCAATTAATAAGTATTTGATCTACCGCGGAATGTTGGCGGATTCTGGTGTGCACTTCGGCAGAAAAGAAAGATATTCCTCGGCGACGTGTCCTGACGCGTAATTTCCAGAAACGCGTACAGAGGTGCGGACCACTCCGTTTGATGGCGGATACCGGCAAGTGCCGTCGCGACATCGGTATCGGCGCGCGATGTGGCGGCGCGAAGGCTTGACCGCAAAGGGCGAGCGGCATCGCGAGGTTCGACGATTCGGTCGCAGAGGGATGGCCGCGAAACAAAGAGCGACGAAGGGCACGTGACAGATTTCAGAGAAATTGGCGTGATTGCCAGGAGACGTCGTAGGGCAGGGGTCGGCAACCTTTTGAGTCGGAAGAGTCAAAAATTACAATTTACAAAATTTCAAAGTTTTTAAAGAGCCACAAAATTTGTTCTTGCCAACAATAAATAGTACTCGCATAAATAAAGTTTTTTGATAAAAAAAAACTAATCTATTTATTCATAAGAAAAAATATCTATTTATTCATATATAAGTAGTGTTTTTCACAACAAATTAGATAATATATATATGGCATTATTAGATAATTACTTATTATTTAAGTAAAAAATTAAAACAATTGAACATTTACTTACAACACTAAAGTTGACGACAGCGACGGGGGAGGGATGCGGTGAAAAGCGAGTACAAGTGGTTGAGAGATAGAATCGGTGTCTAATCCTCGTTAATCGATTCAGAACGATTTTTAAATGTTTTTTTTTGTTGATAAAATAAATAATATTTGCGTATGGAACTAAAGAGCCGCAGCTTCACATCCAAAGAGCCGCATGTGGCTCGCGAGCCGCAGGGTGCTCACCGCCGACCCCTGTAGTCTTCACTTCGTATTTTGCATTGTGCGCTTCACTCCATATTTGGTCATTGTGGACTTCACTTCGTGTTTGTTGCTTGAAAAATCTTTCGTCTACTTAATACATTCGTTGATAGCGTTAAATTGTCACATTGCCTTTCCGATTAACACTCGCTGCGAGAAAGATAATTCAACAGTTAGAGAATGTTACAGATTTATAAATACAATTACTAATATTATTAGTCAGTTTTCATTTAAACATTTGATATTTGATCTAACTTTATCAATTGCAGAACTTCTAAGTTTTTAATTAATAATATAACTTATTCATGTGCTACATGAACATTAGTAATCCTAAATGTACTATATTTTGTAATTGAGGAATTTGGAAATTTCGAATTTTAGGAATTTGGGAATTTGGGAATTCGGGAATTTGGGAATTTAGGAATTTAGGAATTAGAAAATTTGACAAAATTTAAAAATATAAAAATATAGTAAAAAGTTTCGAATTATGCAAATATTTTTGTTAATTCCGACTTGCGTTAACGCTACATTAACGGTAATTAATAGGAGGTAGTTCTTGCAATATGTTGATTACCTTTTATAAAACATTACAAAAATTACGGTTGGTGGTCAAAAATGCGTTTATGTGTTTATCATGTGAACATTTGCAGATGAAGATTATTTTTTAATAATATAAGTAAGTAATATAATAATTTAATAGTAAAATAATTAAGCAATATTTTTTTATAATTCAGTATTCATTAAATTTTAAAACAAGGATTATTGTATGGATTTATCCACAGTCAGAACTAAAGAAAACGGTCAAAATATTTATTAGTGTGTTTTATTTTAAATTTATTTGTCCGAACATCTCAAATACCAGTTTCGTGTATCAATGCGTGTTAATAGTAGCATATAAACCCATAAAAAATGAAATCTCACTTTAGTAATCCCAGCCATAAAATAGCCCTAAATGAAACGACAAAGCTATTCAACTACGAACAAATAATGATTTTTCGAGAACTACATTTTATAGTTTTATTTTATCACAAATCGTTTTTGAGGTGTTCTAAAAACAGTTTAATAACAGTATGTGCTGATAATTATGTTTACTGTTCTGTTTTCAGTTTATAGATATGAAAAAGTGTTACTCGTAGAAATTGGTTACTTCAAAAATAGTCAAAATAATTGTGTCAGTATTTAAAGTTCTAAATAATATAGTCTAATATAATATAACTCTATTAAATAATATAAAATAATATAATATAATGTAGCTCCGTTATATATATCATAATAATATAATATATATAATTAAACTCTATGTAGTAACTAAATCTTAAAATTCATAATATTTCAAGAAACATGAACAATTAAAAAAATTGCAAATATTAAACGTTTTAAGAGAATAAAAAGGTCGTAATATCCAACATTATAAAATTAATTTTTCAATTTAACAAATATTATTATAATGAATCAAATATGCAGAAAAATAAAAAATTGAGGTTAATTGCATAATTGGTTCCTGAGATAAAAATTGTAACATTTGAGGGGCAATATTTTTTTGACGAATCTCGAAATAGCAAAACGACGGGTTAAATCCTACCCAATTTCACGAATAATGCATTACACTTCGTGTTTAAAGAATCACACCTTTTCGCATTTATTACATTTGTTACATTTTTTATATTTATTTCACATTTTTTTACATTTATTATTTTTTTTATTATGAATATATGCCTCATAACATAATGCAACAACTTCCTGAAAGAAATCAACATGTAGAAGAAGAAGAAGAAGAAGAAGAATAACGTTATAATGTTTGAATAACAATTAAGATATCGTTAGAAGATTTTACTCGTTCAGTCGATGTATAGTATTTATATCTTCCATTTGTTTCGATGATTTGGTATCTTTTTAAGCATAAAGATATATAAGGGAGTAATAATTCATGCTTCTTTATATTGTGAATTTCAAGTTACAAATACAATAACAAGTACTTACAGTAAGATATATTTGTAATGTTCATGAAGAAAGTTCTGTTATATTAGGGAATGAATTAAGAAATGCAATAAATCATTGAAACACGTAAAAAATTTCACTTTTTAAGAAAGAAAATGTACTTTTTTTACAGAAATGTATGATCTCAGATTGTTTTCTTCATTTACTACAAAGCAGGGACAACATTTTCCCCTACTCTTTTATAACAAAATTTTAAATATGTACTTCAAAAGCGATGAAGATGGCAACTAATTTTCTGCAAATGGATCTTGAAAGTTTTATACCATCAAAAGTTATAGAAATAAATGACGGTTACTTTGTCAAATAAAACCACATTATAGAAATAAATGGCGATCCCTTTGTCAAATAAGACTGTATTTCAAGAAAATTCACGTTACTGGAACTTCTGCTATAAATCTGTACAAACTTTCTCCGGCAGCTAATGTGTTTCTGACTTTGAACAGGGAGATATGGGATTTCCCGGACTTAAAGGAGACCAAGGATTACCAGGACCACGAGGATACCCAGGTCTATCAGGTCCTCCTGGTCCACCAGGAAACATCAGCGATTATCGTGATGTTTTGCCACGATTTGTAGGACCACCAGGTCCTCAAGGAAATCCGGGTGTTAAGGGCTCAAAGGGTGAACCAGGAGAGAGAGGTGCTAAAGGAGAACAAGGACAAAAAGGTATCTATTTTTAAAGTCCAACCTTATAGGGTTTAACGCGGTCGTGTCAAATGTTAAACGTTAGTATTAAATGCGATTACTTTGATTCATCCGATAAGTAATCCCTGAAGTACTGCGTAAACTGATTTAATCTTGTTAGAAATGGCGCGGAAATGTGGTAGTGCGGTGATTCATCGTTAAACACATTATTGTTCTGCCAATAAACTGGGGATACGCTTTTCATTTCAATTTCACTTGACAACAATTTTAATTTCAATTTCACTCGTGAACACTTTTAATTTTCATTGCAGAATGATGTTTTTCTGTTTTCATTCTTGTTTCAAACATTTAGCTCTTGTCAGATAAGTAAAAATGACATTCGAACGGCGTTAACTTGACAAAGTTAACGCGTTAAATGTAATGTTGCAAAAGGTCATTGACACTTTTGAAGAAATGATTCTACCCAATAAAGTGTGTCAACAGCCGCGTATTTAAAGGTCGTGCACAATCGTTTTAATGGCTTCAACTGTTTAACCAACATGTTTCCACTTATTCTGGCTTCCTTATACACATATAAAGAATAGATAATCTTAAAAATAAGGCTGGTAAAATAAAAAATCGACGTTTTAATATTATTTACAATTTACAATCATCAAGTGTTTATATTTATTTACAAACACTTATATTTGTTGCATTTGTATATGTTTATATGAAAACACTAAAATATTTCGAAAGATTTGAATGATATAAAATACGTTTTAAACAAAAATGGCGTAATATTAGAGAGAACATAATATATTGTCTATTTATTGATTTCACCTCGTAATGATCTTGAAACGTGCTCAACAATCTCATTCTCAACACATATCATCAATCTTGACATAATATTTTTAGTGAAAATAAAGATTTTTAATTAATCTAAATAATTGGTGAATTGATTTATATTATGCTACAGCTATCTTACGAAAGAACAAGTCCAATCTGAAAGGAAAGAAATGTAAAAAATGGCACATAAGTTTAAATGATCTCTTACAGTGATATCAAACTCATTAAGGAAACAATAATAGCAAACCTTTGTAAATTATAGTATTACTAAATATCGGAAAAGTAAGAAGGAAAGCTTTAAAAAGCATTTATCGTAACGAGCTGAACAGCAAATTGTAGAAAATATGAGCAACGCATTAAAAAGTTACGAAGAAATATGGATACGGCATTTTTTATGGATCGTGTCCTTAAGTGTAATCCATAAATCAGAAAATTATATTTGTATCTATACTTTTGAAACTCCACAATATAGAATATCCAAGTAACAGTAGAATACAATAAATAGAATATGGAACAATGTAAGTTATTTTTAAACGCTAATACATCAAGAGGTAATTACGTTTTTAAAATATTCTTTATTTAATTGAAGTTACTTTTTTTTTACAAAAAAAAATTCAGTTTGGACGGTTCATATATATTTTGAAAGTACGAGTATACTCATGTATATTATAAAGATTCTGAACATAATTTCACGTAGGGTGCATTCTCCACCAGAAACAAACTTAAATTAGTTTTTCCTATTTTAAGAATGGCGTGGATTACACTGACATTCTAAGAAGTCATTTTCTATCAACAAATTTCATCAGCAAAACAATACCTCGGTGTATAAAAGCCGCGAAACCGCAGCATGGTTTAAAGTTTGAAACATTTAACATGAATTTATTGAAACTGCCTGCAAACTTTCTAGACCAAGATCCAATTGCAAATCTATGGGGTATTATAGTACGGAATATTTGTGCAAATAAGTGGCACTTTTAAAATATTTTAGAACTAAAAGAAGCTAGTGTGGAATTCTGGAATCAAGTTAGTGAAGAAATTTCAATAAATGAAAAAAAGTTTGAAGTAATTAAAAATATGCACAATCACATTTTTAAATTGAAGAATTATTGTAATCCATATATTTTGTTCATTCTTATAATTACTCATTTTAATTGGTTGAATTGTTTTAATGTTTCATTATGATTTAGTATTACTATACATAACAAATATCTTGGTGCTATTAACATATACCAGTGAAATATTTTGTTAATTACACTTCATTTTAAATAAATATTTTTGCACTTTCTTAATAACAATTTTTTTTAATTTCGTTCACGTGATAGTAATATTTAAAAATCGTTACTATTTAAAAATTCATGAAAATTATAGTGGTAGAGTAATGGCCTACATGTAAATTGTTTTTAAGGAACTAATATTTATAATATACGTAAATAATATATAAGAGTTATATGATATTTAGTGATGAAGGTAAATCTGATATACTAGTAACAAAATTTAATTTCCTATATCTTTTAGGTTTTTGTGTTTTATACAACAATACAAATTTTATTGTATTTTATCTTTCCCCACTTTCACTATAAACGACTCACATACAATTTTTAATTTAATATTTTGTATTTGTTCGATAATTGTTGGACATTTTATGATTTTTGGTTACTACTTTGGTTACTAAGCGCAAAAGATATGATCCCAATCTTCCCTGATGGATGACGTGAAAACTATATGATGTTGAAAAGGCATCGACCTAAATACAACCATTCAAAGTGATTGTAAATCAATTCGTTGCAATCTACTGCAATACTCGCAAACCCCATTCCTTTTATTAATCGTCAAATGTATGCCATTCTTACGATAGAAACAACTAGCAGTTCTTAATTTATCTAATTGCAATCATTCAAATACTTTATCATTAGACGAACTATTTTATTCTAAAGAAGAATTTAAAAAATAATTTAATTTTTGTAAAATTATGATCATAAATAAATTAATCCTGTGTTGCATCCTGCTGCGATATACAATTATTAATTATGAATTATTGATATCTAAATTATTAACGAAATTATTTTATATTTTAACAAATATACGCGATAATCAAAATAAATGAAATTATCAAAAATACAAATCTTGAAATATCTGTAAGTTTGCAATATTATTACTACAACATAATCATCAAAATTGTTGATAGGTTTGAATTACAATTAGCAATATTGTATTTTGTTTAATAAACAATTTACAGTAAGCAATTAACGAAATTAGTTTGTTACCTATATTATTCAAAAATATTACGAATTAGATTCAGATAGTAATAGATTTATGTCAATAGTATTAAAATTATTATTAAAAAAACGGTTACAATTATGCACCTTCAACACCTTTATAAGTAGACAAACACTAATCAAGTTCTGTCTCACAATAACTCGAGCTGCGACAATTAAATTCCTAACATTTTTAATGTATACTCCTAACAACAATTCCCATAATCAAAAGCAAATATTTCTTACTTCTATATACATTTTTAACCAAAAGAGAATGTTGCATCTAAGTGCACATGAGTGAAAAGTCTTAAATATACTTCCACATTCAGCACACGTATCGAGCGATGCTCTATTGGACCACGTTTAACTACACCACATAAAATTCTCTACCATGTTCCACTGTTTTAGAGCTGCTTTATCACGTTTGATTGATCGCAATTCAGTTTTAAAGACTTAAATTCAATTTAAGGTGAACTAGGCGACGCAGGTTATCCTGGACCTCCCGGTTTGGACGGTAAACCAGGTCTCCCTGGATTTCCTGGTCCTAAGGGAGCCACAGGATTTCCAGGAGTCCCAGGTTCTCAAGGGTTGCCAGGTCCTCGTGGTGAAATCGGTGCTCCTGGATCGCCTGGAAGTCAAGGATTAAAGGGAGAGCCCGGTGAACCTGGTCGTGATGGTACTAAAATCAAATACTAACCAGAATTTTGAAATCAAATACTGACCAGAAATTGTGTGTTAATATACATAATTCTTTTGTTTAGGTTTACCTGGTTCAATTGTTGGTTCCGTTATTCCGGGACCACCTGGTGCTGAAGGACCTCCTGGTATACCTGGAGAAGACGGACTTCCAGGATTAAAAGGAGAACCTGGAGCCACTGGTCCTCCAGGTGTACCAGGACTACGGGGAGAAACAGGTTCTCCAGGTTCTCCAGGATTACAGGTATATTTAAATCCAAGTTATACACTAATTAAACAGTTTTATAATACCAGTTTTACGGACCTTTTGACCTGTACAGGGTCTACCTGGTTTAGCAGGAGAGCCAGGTCCGCCTGGACCTCGTGGTCTTGAAGGTCTTACTGGAAAACCTGGACCCCCTGGATTCGATGGCAAACCTGGACAAAAAGGTGACAAAGGTCAACAAGGAGAGCAAGGACCTATTGGACCACGTGGTTTACCTGGAAGCACTGTAAGGTTTTTGTACTCTGTAAAATGACCATATCTAACTGTTCAAAATTTTCAGGGCTCTCCGGGTTTGCCTGGCAGTGCTGGTATTCCAGGAATTGAGGGGCGACCTGGATCTCCGGGTCCTCCAGGTCCTCCTGGACCACCAGGACCAGCAGGATCAGACGGCGATATGTTGAGTACAAATGATATTCTGGAAACCATTGGCAGTCCAGGCGTTAGTGGTCCTAGAGGTTTGCCAGGTACTCCAGGATTGGTAAGTGCTTTAAATTAGGAAATTTTATTTATTATCTTCATTTTATTTGTTTTACTATTTGTTTATTTTTTTTAATATTTGCTTATTCATTATTTTATTTCATGTTTATTTAATAATTTGAATTCGAACTGGTTACCATTTAAAATTAGCCAGGTGAAAGAGGCCCTCCTGGAGAACGAGGTCCAGAAGGTAAAATAGGACCACCGGGAATGCCAGGAAAGGATGGCGCTCCAGGATTACAAGGACCACCTGGGGTTAGAGGACAAACTGGAATGCCAGGTCTCCAAGGATCACCAGGACGTAGCATTACCGAATCAGAAATTCGAGACATATGTGTCAGTGTGCTACGAGGTAAATATTTATTATATTTTAACACGATCGAGAATAAAAAATTGTACAGTTAAGAAACTGATGGCCGGATTAGAAAAGGTGTGCAACATCCTTGTGCAATGTGACCAATTTATGGAACATTCTTTGCATTTGAAGAATAGAAAGATAATTATTCGTTTTATTGCCACGTACGTATACAGAACAGATGACCGAGATGGCAGCACTGATGCAAGGTCCACCTGGTCCACCTGGTCGAGGCCGTCCAGGTCGTCCTGGATCACCTGGTCCTCAAGGTCGCCCAGGTACACCCCAAGAAAAGGGTTACCAACCCCTGTTTGCCTGCATTCATTTCTAGAACTGTAGAATTCGATACGGTTACGGGTTTCTGGTATCTTTTCACGAGAAACTGGTAACGTTTCGTAATAATCGCTGCACAAGAATATACACAATGTTCCCGATAATCATACTGGATATCACGATGATCATCGTCGTCATTGTTCCGTCATGAGTTGCTTGAAATTCCATCTTCATCTTTAGTTAAACTCGGCATTCTTCAGTGACGTGATGCGCGCATCTGCTCGATTAACAATCGATCGCTCAGGGATTAACATCTCACGTGGTTATACACCGATAAAGACGATGGAATCCTGCATGTGTCACAGAGCAGCTGAAAGAACTAACAGAGGGTCTACGAGGGCCACCCGGGTTGCCAGGGCTGGCCCGACAGGGCCGTCCTGGTCGAGCCGGAACCCAAGGCATCCCAGGTACCTACTAGACAGAACATCCTAACATGTTTCTCCTTTCAGATTTCCTTTATTTTCATTGGACTTCAACTTTTACATTGGATTTAATCTTTTTCCTCCGTTTTGCTTTTCTATTGAAACTAACTTTATGGAGTTAAGCCAGTGATGGGCAGATTAAGTTCCGATTGATGTGCATGCTTATAGGGACAACGCGCAGTAAGTCTAAAGAGGTCCCACAGAGACCGTCATCAATAGGGATGCTAAAAAGAACTCAAGCAAAGCCTAGGGAGATATTAGGAAGAATTTAAGGAGATTCTGAGATAATTTAGAAAAATCCTAGAGAAAGTCTAAGAAGATTTCATAATTTAGGAATGTCTTAGTTGATCCTTCAGATGGAACTAGGGTGATATTAAGAATAATCTGGGGAGATCTCAGGGAGAATTTAAAGAAAAATAGATCTTCTATAGAAGATAAAAAGAATCTATGGAGATTTTAAGTACGGTCTATTTAAATTTCAGGCAGAACCATAAAATTTCTAGGAAGATTTTGCAATTGCCCATCACTGGATTAAACAAGGCATTACCAAATGGTTTTGGTATAGAAGTCACATTCACGTATCATTTTTACATTGTTACATTTTCACTCTAATGCGGAAACATTCGAAACCACCCGCGTACATTTTGATGAAATTTTGAAGATTTGTAGAACTATCAAAAATAAAAGACTATTTTCTTATATTTGTGGATATAAAAATACGAGATCTGGAATTATTCTGCAAAGTTTGACTTGGAAACTACTAACCCTTTCTTATAATCTTTTTTAGAAATTTTTGAATTCCTATAAATAAAAATAATAGGAAAATTACAACGAATAAATATTTTCTACTTACTAGTTTTATTTTAAGAAATATTACATAATGTTAAAAGTTTGCAACATTTTGCAAAGGTACAACGTAAAATTGCAATTACAAAACATTACGAATATTTCCAACGATTAAAGATTAAAAATAATGACTGAAATCTGCAATGTATCTATGTTTTATAAATGTCTTACTATATTATTTTATGTAGAACATTTGTAACATAATGTAACAAAGGATAATGTAACAAACAGAAATGTACTTCAAATCGGGAAGTTGTATGGTTTTATTATATATTATAATTCAGTGCAAATAGGTCTTTGGAAAAGTAAAAAATATAGAAAATTAAGGGGGTAACTAATCATATTTCAATACTTGTCATTTTGATGATAATAACTAAAAATGAAATGTGTAGTACTATATTCAATTAGACACTTGAAAATTTACAGGTTAAAACAAACGATTTGTCATTGATCCTACAGCGTGATTCTATACCTCTAGGTCGGTAAATATCTGTTAACAAGCGAGCACATAGTTGATCTTTAGACATGCATCCAATCGTGCATCCAAAATTCAACCGTTTTATTCAAAAATGATTTTAAAATCTTGAAATTTGTGAAACTCAGGGATTTGTGGATCTAAAAAATTTAGAATTTGGGAATTTAAGAACCTAGGTATTTTAAAAGCTGTGGATTTGAGGACCTAGGAATTTTACAATGTGGGAATTTGGGTTCATAAGTATTTGGAAATCTCGAAATTGGGGGACGTAAAGATATGGTACTCTAGAGATTTGAGGATGTAGACATTTGGAAATCTAGGGATTTAAAGGTCTAGGAATTTGGGAATATAGATATCTGAAAACATTGAAATCTGAGCATGCGGAAGTGCAGGAATCTAAGGATTTAATGGTCTAGCATTTTGGAGGTGTAAAAATATAGAAGCCTAGTAATATCTAACCCTGGATATTTTAAAATTTAAGAATTTAGGGATGTATGTAGATCCTTTGAAACTTTGCAATTTGGAACAGTAAGAATACGGGAATGTATGTAGGAATTTGACGGTTTAGGAATTTAGGCATTTGAGGCCTTGGTATTTAGTGACTTTACAACTTCAGGATCTGGAGATTGAAAAATATGAGTCTTTAGAAAATTAAAAATGGAAAGTTAAAAAAGTTGAAATATTCTACAAATCTATAAAGCTTCGTTAAAATCGGAGGACAGACCTATGTATTTTCAGTGCATTATAACAGATCAATCGTTACTATACTTCTTCACCGCACACGAGAAATCATATAAGAAAAATTAGGTTTGTATCACCACAAATTACATCTTGTGTGCCGCAGATGGTAGTAGATCTTCCATTTTCTTCTCAACATCGTCGTGTCGTTACTATATCTATAACAGAAAATACCTTCAAATTTGAATATACCAATTGCAAAAATTACAAATTTAGAAAGTTTTAAAATTTACAAATTTACAAAAGATCAAATTATTTAAATATTGAATTTTATAATTCTTAAATTATTTAATTTCTAGATTTTAGTATCCTAAATTTTGAACATTCCATATTTTCTATTTTTCAAATATTCAAACTTCTGCATTTCCATATTAGCAAGTATCCAAACCGCGTTATTAAATTATAAAATTTCTACAATTCGAAATCCAAAAATTCTGAATTCTTAAATTCTTAAATTCTTAAATTCACAAAATTGATTAATCTCCAAATTTCTAAATTGTTTAATTTCTAGATTTTTGAATTATTAAATTCTAAAATTTCTAAATTTAAAAATTTCTAAAATCCTACATTTCTGAATTCCTAGATCCAAACTTTCCATATTTAAATTTTTTTAATTCGAATACTTAAATTTCCAAATCTCAATACTCTCCGATTTTAGATTTTTTAAATTTCCATATCCCTAAACGTCGACAGTTTTTAATCAATAAATTTTGTAATTTTTAACATCTACAAATTTTCATATTGCCCAATTCCTAATTTTCTAAAATTCAATATATCCAAATTTTAAAAAATAAAATTCCTAAAATCTTCAGTTTCCAATCTCCAAAATTTAAAATTCTTGAATTTCAAAATTCCTAAACTTACAAATCTTCAAATTTCTAAATTTTCAAGTCCAGAACCTAACTTTCTAAACTTCCAATTTTCTCATTTTCAATATTTAAAAACAGAATAGATCAGCAATAAAACCGATGTCACTCTAAGTAGACACATATACAACACAATCACACGTTTATACATATGACAAGAATCACGTATACCTACATATACAATACATCATAATGTTACAAATTTTAAACAGATTTTTACCGTGGGTTGATTTGAAGGCAGACAAGCATTTAGTTATGCCCAAATTAGACCACCTTCCGCTTCAAAAAATATCACACTTGGAAATCTATTTCTAAGTAATTAGAACTAAAAAACTATAGTTGATTTGATATTTAGACAAGTATTTAACGCTGCATGTTTTTAATATATAATGCATGTGCTAAAAATACGCCAAGAGTTCATAAATCTTCTAAGTAAATGTTGAATCGATTAAATCACTACTACCTTATAGGTGACCCAGGGACTCCAGGACTACCCGGTGAGCGCGGTTTCGTAGGATTACCTGGACCACAAGGTCCCATGGGTCTTCAAGGTCCTCCTGGAGATCAAGGAGAGAAAGGTGACAGAGGACCGGAAGGCGTTGGCGTGGAAGGTCCAATGGGGCCAAGGGGACTACCTGGTATTATAGACCAGTTCTTATTCATTATCACTTACTAAATTCATAATATTTTCTCACAAATGTATGTTAATAGGGCCACCTGGAAATGATGGTGTGGGTCTACCAGGTCGACAAGGAGAACGGGGAGAACCGGGCAGACCAGGTAAAGAGAAAAAAGTTGCAAACACGTTTTTAAGATGCGGTTTTGATATTTTTAGTTTCGTTTATCGATAGGCGTACCTGGGATAAGAGGGCCAGTTGGACCGCCAGGATTACCAGGATTCTGCGAGTTTTGCAATTATCCAAGTGCAAACTATTTACAGTATACACGCGGTAATGAAAAAGGTCCATAAATTAAAACTGACTCTACTTACGCGGGAGTAAACAGTGAAATTTTATGATATCAAGAGAACAAGTATGAATTTATGAATGATGGACTTTATGCTCAGTAATACATAGTTTTAAACAGTTTTTAAATCACTGCCATGTTACGATTTTTTAAGTGCAAGTCCACGAATTGTGAACACTGGGATATTTAGGACCCAGCCTTATTTTAATTCGTACGAATTTATTATTGGTACTTACTACCTGAATTTGTAAAACTGTATAGTGGTGTGAAAACTCGGCACTTCTTTTTGTAGTGCAACAAATAAAGAAATAAATAGTCTAAGGTTTCTAACCTGTTTATTTATACATAATTCTGTTGACTATTATGTATTCAAGATATTCTAGCATGATTGGTAATATAGTTTTTCGAATTTTCGAATATAAAATTCAGTAAATTACAGTTACCCATCATCAAAGTATGTGGAACTTCTCTTTAAGGTATAGCGAACGAAAAAATAAATATTTACATTTATGAGGGGATTATTTTTATTAGGGTTTATTGAGAGAGTCATTATGTTGATTGCTGAATGTTAAAGATATTATGACCTGATTGCTATTTTAGTTTGTCAAATATGGAAGAATAATGTTCGATAAATTATGAACACTCCTCTGTGAAGCTTCAGAAAAGTCACATAAAGTTTTAAGAAGTCGGAAAGTATTTAAAAACAATTGCGCGCCATCATTTAAAACGTTACCATATCAGTTCTGTTCCAATTGCAATCTTGAAGATACCCTATATTGTATTATTGTATAGTAGTGGAATGTTAATGTAAAATATATTTCTAATTATAGAAAAGCGAGATACAACAGCAAGAAGAAATAATAAAGATATTGATATCAGATCATTGATAATTTTTCGTCAAATGAAAAACAAAACATTAGTATTAAAAAGGTTTACAGTTTATGATGTATGTAAAAAACAATTAAAAAACAAGTTCATTGAAGAAAATCTACAATTTTCATATATTCAAAAAAGCAGTTTTGTTCTAATTAGTATTTCGTTTACATGTTTTGCAAAAAAATATAATAGTAATAAAAAATATATATATAAAAATACGTATTACAAGCAGGGGTATATTATTATTTACTGTAACATAACAAATGATCCAAAAACTTTTTCACACCACTGTATGTGTGTTACTCCTACAAATTATTTTACTTACTTGAATATTCGGGAAGCCATGTATTAAAAACCACGACTTAAAATAATTGCAACAGCACGTCTTGTCAATAATGTAGATATTTAACTATAATATTTAATATATGGTTCGTTACATGAAATTCAAATGACACGTTTATAAATCCTATCTATTTTGTAAGAAATAAAAAGAATTTGTACATGATAAAAATTAAACTTGTGTATTTATTATGAATTTAAACTTGAAAATTTTGTGATTTAAGATTTCCAAAATTGAGAAATTTGGATATTTCGTAAAAAGTCTGGGAATTTGCAAATTTTGAAAATTTAGATATTGAATAATTTGAAGCATTTGAAAAATCAAAAACTGTGGAACGTAAAAATTTAGGAAATTAATGATAGAAATTCGAAAATTTGAAATTTTGGATTTTTAGAAATTCGAAAATTTGCGATTTTAGAAATTTGAAAAATTTTAGAATACAAATTTTATAAATTTACCAATTTTGGAATTTTTAGATTTACGAATTTAGGAATCTGAAAATCTGGGAATTCAAAGCTTCGAAAACTGGAATTTAAAAAATTAGGAATTTGGCACTTTGGAAATTAAAAAATTTGAGTTTATGAAAATTTGTAAATATAGAAATTGAGAGATATGATAATTTAGAAATTTTAAGACTTAGAAAGTTAAGAATGAAAATTGTTAAATTCCGGGATTCGTCAATTTAGTAATTAAGAGATTATAAAATTTGAAAACTTAGAAATTTGGGAATTTGAGAATTTATGTTTTCAAAATAAATGAAGAAATCTAAGGATTTGAAAACATATTTTCGAAAAATTAAAAGGTTTTGTCTTCTGAATGTTTAGAAATTAAGCACTTGGAAATATAAATTTAGAAATTCGTAAATTTGATAATTTACTTGCATTTTTCATAAGAGTGTTTTCGTAAGTTCACGCCCATATAAGTTCCACTTAAAAACTAGATATTTACTTTAAAATAAATAGAATAAAAAGAATTCTACAATACGCGTTTTTAAATATGTTTACTACTATCCCGCGCTCAATAGTCCTATTCCTCGTTCTTATGTTCAAAGAGGCGATGGCGCCACCAACCGTTGGTGCTCGTTGAAATCAGTGATGGCCGCGAGGCTCGCGATGCACATTACGTCTAGATTGCATTGAGTTTGTTTATCGCAACGTTCTCGTTCCAGGAGGATTTCCGCGACTTTAGTTCGAGGTAGTCCAAATTTTGCCGCGTTTTCAGTTAACAAAATCGTTTGAATGAATCGTATTTATCATAAGGGTTTATAAAAACGACGCGGTTACTATTCTTGACAGTTCGGTCTTGTGTTCAGAGTAGCAGTAGCCACTCGAGTGCCACGAGAAGTGTCGTTTCGTCTCCACTTGGCAGACCTTTTCAGAACAGTAGCCGTACTAATGACATCGTGCATGTGATCGAACGATACGAAAAAACTTTTTGTCGACACGGTGACGGCGACCCCACACCCGTCGGCACTTTTTTTTCTCTCATCCTTGCTGAAGACACGCGCATCAAAGGTGTCTAAGGTATGTATACCGGCAGAGCAGGTTAGGTACATCGCCGTGTCTCGTGACGGCGTTATGGACGAATTCACATGCATATGTACATACGTACACGTTTTCGTATATTTTTAGCATGATAGAACAAGAACTTCTGTTTTTCTTGTTTATCTTCGATTTACAGTACCTGATAAAACTTGATTACTCAAATGAGTAATAAAGGTATCGTTATCGAAAAATATTGCTTTGAAAGAAGCGTTAAAATAATTTAAACCGATATATAATACAGGCTTCAGGCTTAGATTTTGCTTGCCTCGCAGAAACGCCGTCCCCTTATTTATTTACCGTTATGATATATTATAACGGTAACGATAAGCTTCGACAAATAAGATTAACTTCATATGCGTCTAATGTAATATAACGGGCACTGTCCCGATGAGTTTACGTCCTATCTGGCAAAGGAAGTGTTAAACAGTGCCCCACTGACACACGTTGCTTCCTCTACTCGGCACCGGTCCAAAACATTATTCTCAATTGATTCATAGTGGTCGTGTACCAATTGTTAAAGTTTGACTCTACTGCAGTTAATCAATTAGTAATCCGATCATGTACCTTTCAAATTCGTGTGACATCTTCAACGATTGACATTTATCTGTGACATTGATGTACGATCAATGTGCAATATCCTTTGATTAGTTATTCTCGGTTATAACGCTATCTGTGACAGCAGATTAGTGAGCTGTAAGTATTAATTCGTGTGACACGATCAATGGTTGCCCTTTGAGATTATTGATTATTGCACCGATATTCAAATGTAGCAGAGGTAGATTTCAATTGAAGTATCCAAAATTGACCGCGCCTTTTGGCCGTTCCATTTCGCGCGTTCCTCTGTACGCACCAAAACTGTCCCACATTCCTGGACGTTCCTCTGTCTCCTCGGGCGATCTTATACATCCCCACCTGGCCCACTTATTGTATTGATTCAAACTTAGGCATCTACACACATTCCTCATTCCTTTGCAACTTCCTGCTTGACGATCTTCTTCTGACGCTTCCGGTATGATCCTTCCGGCAATTTGCGCATCACAAAGGCGGTAATTCCATCGAGGAAAATGTATGGGTGAAAATGGCAAACCGATATGTATATAGGTTATGAACTTTCAGGTTACTTGGGAAATTCTTTCGGGTACTGTGCACAGGAAATATAGCCAAAAATAAATTTAGAATGTTTTCTAGTAAAAACGAATCATTTTAGAAATAGATAAGGCACTTATATAAGAAATTTTTAGTTAATTCCTATATTACATTGGTAGAGTTATTAATAAAATATACATATATTTAACCTTTAACTAGCAAAATGACGTCCATCAAACATAAGTAATTCTTTAGTTTCCTTATAAATGTAACTTATCTAATTTAAAAAAAAAATAATGGGCATAATGAACGATAGTACTTTTTTTAAAATTATGTACCCGTTTTCGGTCATAGTAAGGAAGCCTTATCTAGTAAGATGCACGAGGAATTGCATTATTGAAGATATTAGAAATTAATTTTTTAATACAGTACCGTAGTTTGCTATTTTACGTTATTAATTTTAATTGTATTTTGAAATACCATAGCATTTTTATGTTTTAAGTATTTAATCAAATAAATTTGTAGTTTGTCGATAATGTGTAAATTTCTGAGCATTGTGTAGGGTCTTGTATTTCTTGCCTGCTTTGCATGGAATAAAATGCCTACAGTACCAAATGCAGGTTATGTTTCGTTTCGTTTTTTATTTCGCATTAGATATTGATAAATTCAGGAAAGAAGTAATAATTTTGAAAAATTAAAAATTTCAATTTTTTGTTACTGCAGGATTTTCCAATCAGATACTTTCTGTTCATTAATAATAACACGAAATACCTGCAATAGACCATAAATAATGGTTTCAAAGTTCAGAAGATTTCATAAGATTAATGAAACTGAATGTTTTCGTAGTTAGTGGTTTCGAATCTAATATCAGAAATTGTGAAAAACAAAATTCCGGACAGAAATCAGTTACATGTACGAAACTAGCTATTCAAATTTTGCAATTTTCTAATTTTGAACCTAATAAGAATTCAAAAATTTTAAGTGGTGCATCTAATGTGGCGGATTGAATATGTATAAATGACAATATGCTTTCTATAAAAGTGAATTTTCAAGGGATTTTCGACTGAAATCTTACGAAATTAATTTTGAACTTACTCTAAACATTTCGAAATCTAAAATGGTAAATCTAATATGGCGGACAGAAAATATGGCTATTAGAAATGATTTTTACGGAATTTGTTTTTTAAAAGATTTGCAACTTGTCAATTTTGAATTTAATATTAGAATTTTAAAATTTGAAGTAATGGATTCAATATGGTAGATTAACAATATAAAACATAGATTATAATGAAACTTGGTTGAGTAATAGTTTCTTGACTCATTAATTCCGAATGTAATGTCAGAATTTGAAAATTCAATATGGCGAATAAAAACGTGCAAACCAAAATATTCCGATTTTTTCTGACGAGTTTTTACATTTTTGGTTGCCATATCAGATCCGATGTTTTTAATTTTCCCTTTTTAACGATAAATTTTAAATAAGAAATCAATATATTTTTTATTTTAAAGATATAAGACATGCAGTTAAGTAAAGTTAAATGTTTTCTTTACAAATTTTTACAATATTTTTATATATTGTTACAGCTATTGTTACGTTCTAAATGTGGGATCTAAATTTTGACTAACGTACTTCAATAAATACTTATTTATTGATTATTTAAATTTGAAAAAATGTCAAATGAATATATGTATACTTTTTGTATGAATTATTGCAATAGAGACAATTAGACATTCAGTTTAAATACAGTTGTTCTAATGTCTAAATATTTAAAAGACATAAGAAAAGGTGGCAATCTAATTTCGCGATCACGTTGCAAGGTGATTCGTTGATTGCTTCCTGGAATAATCAGGATAAGATCTTCCATTAAATAAAATTTCGCCAACGGCTCACGCGAACGTGTACTTACTTACGTTCTAGAGAGTATCATAAAATATCGATTAGCCACTACAGAAACCTACATATATAGTTTTTACTGCATTTATCATGACCGCCTATATATTTTCCAAGCATTCCATGTGCTCTTGGTAGCAGTGATATTAACCAGATCAGCGAAAAAGCTTTGTTCGCCGTATAAAACTAGCTTCCGCACAAAGCTTTACAAAACGGGCCTCAAGGGGATTACATAAGTTATCCCATAGGGATTTGCTTTTCCAGTTTCTATCCGATTTACTGTTACACTTTATACTGTCTTGCGAATTATTTCTTACTACTGATAGATTTGAAAAAGCAGTCTTCAATTAACGATAAATGCTAATTGAATTGGGAAATGAATTGATGAAATCGATGAAATACGAACGGGTTTTATTGAAATTATGAGGTCTATTCATTTTTATCTGGATTTTATTGGCAGTGTAATTTTTAGGTATGGTTCAATATGCAATAGATTTTCCTTATATCTCTAATAGGACGTAGCAGTGGGCATTTTTTAGAATTAAAAGTATTTCTAAATTTGTATGTTTGAAAATTGAAAAACTTCTAAATGGTTACACTTTTTTAATTTGGAAAGCTAGAAATTTTTAGATATAAAAATTAAGA